TACACTTATATATAAATATGAAACCAAGCATATAAATATCACATTGATTATTTAGAAAGAAAAAATCATTTTCTTACTAGTAAATTGACATTAAACTTTGAAGTTAAAGATAAGTAGATATATATATTTATAAATCTTAGAGAACTAGCAATTCTTCATTACAAATGAAGAGAATCTGTGTATATGAAGATTTAGTTCAGGGAATTTGAGAAAACTCTATGAAATGAGTAATATGTCTTTCAATAATTTGAAAATTTGAAGTACAATATTAATTTTTAGCTACACTCCAATGACGAAAAAATGTGTATCAAATTCAAAAATTAATTAATTATTTAATACAAAATGATATAAATAAAAAAATGACTAAGGTGTCCCTCAATAATTTGGAATTTTGAAATGCATTATTAATATTAAAATAATTTCTTAGTGATTGACTAAAATTGTAATTTCCAGTCTTCTACACATAATTAAAGGGAAAAATTTGTGTAGGGTAATAATTCATGGACCGAACCAACAATATATGTATAATTAATGGACCAAAACTGTCATTTTTCTATTACGAAGTACTTTATTAATTATTATTGTGTTTCAAATTACAAATGCATTGATGTATGTTTAAAGTTTAAACTATCCAAATTATTTTAGTACACACTTATTAACTTTTTATATTAGTTTTTATTAAAATTTTAAAATTTGGCTAGCCCTTGCCTTGATAGTTGTTATACCATGAACTAGGATCCACCTTTTTAAATTGTGTATTTTTATTTTTTTAGTATTGGAATTGTGAACTTTTAGAATATAAATTGTGTTTCTAAGTTTTGAGAATTTGTAAATACAATACAGGGTCATCACAAATTATGACTTTTAAAAGGTAAATTGTGAACATTTAGTATGTGAATTATGTATCATTGGATCCGGGTCCACCGAATAATTTGCCAATCATTATTGAATGGACCATGGTCCACACAATTGTGTGGACCATAAATAAAAAAGCACATTTTTAATATACTAAGGGTACATTATTTTATGTATACTTTCAGTACAAAAATAATGTACATTCAATGCAAAAACAATGTACTTTTAATATATTAAAAATGTACTTGATATTCATGATCCACAAAATAATTTGCCATAATTTGCCCCACCTTGGATCGTGGGCCTAAGACATGGGCCCAGCGAATGGCAAACTTTGTTGGATCCTACCCCGTCAGCTCTAAAAGAGAAGTAAACCGCACTATGAAGGTCTTATGTAACAGGGTATGAATCGAATTCGTAACATTATGATTCCACTCACTTACCAACTCTCTTCATGTGTAAATGTAAATCACACATAACAAATAAATTACAATAGAAATACTCAAATACCTTGTGCGACCGGATTAATCAAAATGATGTTAACACAAATTAAATTTGTTATCTACTAATAACTCCACCTATCTAATCACTCCTTTCGGACTACAATACACCATGTTTTTTTTTTTTTTTTTTCTAGTGATAAATTCCCAACCCCAAGGACTTCCACACCCCGGTCTGATAGAGTATTTGAAAGAATGTAAATTATGGTGATTCAATAACTCAGCAGACAAAGTCAAATACCAATGCACACAAAAAATCTATTAACTTCAAACATAATCTGTATATTGTCGCATTCGAATCTTGATTTCTTCTTCAAAATACTGTTTACTGAACAGGTAAACTAAACATGTGCGGGCACACCGTGTTTTTTCTTTACTGCTCGAGTGGTTTACATCAATTTACCACATCATATCCAACCAGGCAACCATAAAAGCAGTTCACCGCAATCGTAACAACTCATCGTCTTCGGTGATCCACTTCTTCAAACAATAATAATAATTGCACAACGTCGTCGTACTATGTCGTCTTAATTTCATTTTTAATTCAAAGAGATAGAGAGAGGGAGAGAAAAAAAAAATAAATGCTATTTATTGTCCTTAAAAGAATAGTATTCCGTAATTTTAGTTTTTAAAATATTAGCATTTGCAAATTAAAATGTACGTCTTGATTATTCTCTGGATTGGAAAATTTGTGATATGACTTCTTCGATTTATAAATAAAAAATAAATAATAAATAAATAAAGTTCAATACTGCTACTCGAATATATACTTTCTATGAGAATATGAAATATATGCGTTATGACTTTAGTTGATAAAGAATCACAATGAAATAAATTAACCTAAGTTGTTCATAACTAATCGATTCAAACCAAGAAAGGTAATAAATAGCTCCTAAAGGAAGAGCAAATAACTCCCAAAGCAGTCAAATTTGAAAAAAAATTGAAACATTATAGTTAGCAAGTCAATTGTCTGACAAACTTAGATATGATTTCTAATGAGTTAATACTCAAAATAGTTCTTGACTATAGTGGTTTTTCTCAATTTCGTCTTAAATAACTTTAGTGACCTAATGTAGTCCCAGACTTTTATATTTTTGCTCAATTTAATCCTCCATTTGTTATTCCGTCAAATTGTTGTTAAATAAATGGACAATGCAGTAATTTCAATATTGGTCTCTCTTTACTCTCAGATCTGCGAAGTGCAAAATCCTTCGTTCTTTTACAAATTACTTCAAACCAGTGAATATAAAATTCGACCCAATGCAATCTTCATCCATGATCTTTTGTTGGTTAGAATCACAATGCAATCTTCATCCATAATGCAATATTAAATAGTGACAACGGACTTTCTTGTAAAATAATTTTTTTTTTTTTTGAGGGGGTAAATTGAAGTTTTTAAAATATTAGCAATTTCCAAATTAAATGTACTTCTTCTACACCCCCAATTAAATGTACTTATTGACTATTCTCATGGAGGTAAAAGCTAAAGAACAGTGTTTCATAAATTCAGTTCTAAAAATATTTAGCAATTGCAAATTAAATGTGTTTCTGGAGTCTGGACCATCATCATGGAGGGAAAAGTTACAATTTCTGACCAATAAAATATAGTCCTATATGTAGAGTTTGTAGTCAGAAATCAAATTCCAACTGTATTCATGATTCAAACAATTATTCATTGATATTTTCCTCCATCAATCAAAAGTGATAGATAACAAAAAATTACTCATTAATATTTTTTACCATCAATCAAAAGTGATGGATAACAAAAATTACTCATTGATATTTTCGACCATCAATCAAAAGTGATGGATAACAAAAATTACTCATTGATATTTTCGACCATCAATCAAAAGTGATGAATAACAAAAAGTTATTCATTGATAAATATTTTTGACCATCAACCAAAAGTGATCAATAACAGTATACATTAACCATGATCGTCGAAAATTTAAACTACTAAATCAATGATGACCAAGTGGTTGCTAAAGTTTTATAAGTTTTTGCAAAAAAATCATATTTTTATTTTAAAAATTATTTATTATGTGCTTTTTAAAGTAAGCATGTATACAATTCTTCTATTAATATTACTCCTATTATTATATTAGTAATTTAGTATTGTTTTTTTTTTTTTTTGGTACATCATAGACCCTCCAAAAGGAGCCATTATCTAATCCGATGATATGACATGCTTCGTGCGTCAACACCCAGCATAACTTTCAGGTCTTCCGGGACCCTATTAAGAATGAGAGTTCCCCAATCAATGTCTTAGCTTGACCCATGTTAGCGAGCCAACTAGCGCATTTGTTATCTTCCCTACTAATCTGCGATATTCGAATCATCTAGAACCTACATAATTTAGTAATTTAGTATTGTAGAAATATTAATTTATAAAGCTGGAAGAATGTGATGGAGGGAATAATTCATTCAATACTCCCTAATTAAACTCTGCTATCTCCCAATCATGTATTCACATGACGACTACTATAACAACAACCAAAAAAACAAATTTACATAAACTTACATATTTCGTAATTTATTACTTTACTAATTTTTAAGACATGACTGTAGGGTTGTTAACGAACCGAACATAAACGAATGGAGCTTGTTCGTGTTTGTTTGTTAAGATTTTTAGAGTGTTCGTGTTCGTTTGTTAAGGTTTTTGAAAATCTTGTTCGTGTTCGTTTGTTAAGCGTTCATTAGTGTTTGTGAACATTCGCGAACACGTTCACGAACGTGTTCGTTAACATTAACGAACACATTCACGAACATGTTCGTTAATATTAAAAGACTGTTTGCGCTCATGAACGCAAAAAAGAATAAGCAGCTTACGTAAAAAGATTATTTTGCCCTCATGAATAAAAAATTTAAAAATGTTTAATTTTTTTCGGCCAATTTTTACCGGTGATTTGGCCGGAATGACCGGATTTGCTAAAAAAAACATAATTAAAGGACTAATTGTTAGTTTTAAAAGTCATGGAGCGAAATTAACACGCTCCCTATAATCATAGGACCAAAAGTGTAATTTACCCATTTATAAAATTAATAATAGTCTGTGCAATCGTGCATTGCACATGACACTTAAAAAATAAACAAACAAAACTCCATCACAATTCACAAAAGCTTGTAATTGGTATTTATGGTAAAGTGGCGTAATTAATAGGATTATGGATGTGATTTATGAAATAGAAGGATAATTATGGGGTAGGAGATAATTTAGATTGACCTTGATTATTTTTTCATAATCACAATTACCATCTATATTCTTTCTTCTACGGTCAAAGCTAACTGGTCAAGTCCGAAAGTTAAGTGTCGAATCCGAGTGCCGGTCTAACTAGCTTCCAATGTCAAGTTGACTAATTAGTTAACTACCCCTAGTTCATATTCCATCAATATAATGGTTATGCGCTTTTTGTATAATTCAAATAATTAGTTATAGTTTTTTATGTCCGTACGAATTTAACTTATTAGTTCAGTAGACCGTAGTTGAGAGAACAAACCAAGATTTGAACTCGGCAACGGCGGGAATTATGTCCAAATTAAAGTTGGTATATCTTGCTGCAGCACCGGTCACGTACAGTAACTTACATCCTCCCAAATGCTCTATCAAAATTTGACAGAGATTAATTTCATCCCTTTGGTGAAATTTCAACGCGAGTGCTTGCATGTGGGGGGTCATATATGCAATCCATCATCCACTCCGTTATATATAATGGAGGGAAAATGGCCATCTTTCTCACATAGCCACACACTTCCGACCAAGAAACCAAAAAACAATACCCTATCCAACACCAACCTTTCTCTACACTCTAAAAACTGACAAAAAACCACATTAACAACAGCATGAATCGAAAATTTATTGTTGTCTTCTTCGTACTGTGCCACTTGCATTCTCTTCTCCTACCGCCGCCACTGCAGTGCAGCCGGAGCAGCCTCTTCGCCGCCGCCGCCGCCGCCGCCGGCGGCGGAAAGTGGGACCTACTGCAGCAAAACCTCGGCATAGTCGCCATGCATATGCAGCTGCTCCACAACGACAAGGTTGTTATTTATGACCGCACCGACTTCGGAGTCTCCAACATTTCCCTTCCCGACGGGAAATGCCGGTACGATCCCAACGATAAGGTGCTCGCCGTTGACTGCACCGCCCACTCCGTCGAATACGACGTCGCTTCCAACTCCGTGCGTCCCCTCACGGTCAACACCGACGTGTGGTGCTCCTCCGGCGCCGTCACGCCCGACGGCGTTCTGGTCCAAACCGGCGGCTTCAACGACGGCGATCATGTCGTGCGAGTTTTCCGGCCTTGCAGTGATAACAAATGCGACTGGGAGGAAATCCAGGGCGGTCTGATCCAACGGCGGTGGTATTCTACTAGCCAAATCTTGCCGGATGGACGGCAGATCGTCGTCGGCGGCCGCCGCGCGTATAGCTACGAGTTTTACCCCAAAACCGCCGCGAATCATGTGTATAGTCTCCGGTTTTTAGTCGAAACTAACGACAAGAACGAGGAGAACAATCTTTACCCGTTTGTTTTCCTCAATGTCGACGGGAATCTCTTCATTTTCGCGAATAATCGAGCAATCTTGTTCGATTACACTAAGAACGCCGTCGTGAGGACTTATCCGGTAATGCCGGACGGCCAGCCGAGGTGCTACCCTAGCACGGGCTCCGCAGTTCTTCTCCCGCTGAAAAACCTGCAATCTCCGGCGATCTCGGCGGAAGTTCTGGTCTGCGGCGGCGCTCCGAGAGGCTCATATATCAACGCCCAAAACGGGAAGTTTCTCCGCGCGCTAAACACTTGCGGGCGGATGACGATAACCGACCCGAACCCGAAATGGGCAATGGAGACCATGCCGGAAGCTCGATTAATGGGGGACATGGTGACTCTACCTAACGGCAACGTCCTCATCATCAACGGCGCGGCGGCGGGCTCCGCCGGTTGGGAATTCGGTCGGAGCCCCGTTTTGAATCCGGTTCTTTACCGACCCGATAACCCCATGGGCACCCGGTTCCAGCTCCAAAACCCGACTACAATCCCTAGAGTGTACCACTCCACCGCGCTTCTAATCCGAGACGGCCGGGTCCTCGTCGGCGGCAGCAACGCTCACGAGCTTTACAACTTCACCAACGTCTTATTCCCGACGGAGCTACGCCTGGAAGCGTTCTCGCCGGCGTATTTGGATCCGGCAATGGCAGCGACCCGCCCGACTATCCTCTCACCCGCTTCACATTCCCAATTCGGGTATGGAAAACGGGTTCCAGTTCGGTTCAAGGTGGCGGGACCCGTGAACAAAAATTTGGTCACGGTAACACTCGTTGCACCCTCATTTAATACACATTCATTTTCTATGAACCAAAGGCTTCTGGTGATTGGTTCCGGGGCTGGGGGTGTGAAATATGTTGCTAAAAGTACGTATCAGATCGACGCAGTTACACCGGGTTCGGCCATTTTAGCACCATCCGGCTACTATATGCTATTTGTGGTTCATCAAGAAATACCTAGTGAGGGCATTTGGGTGCACATTCCATGAAAACATATGCATGGATAAATAACCAAATTCTTTTTGTTTTTAATGATTAAATTCTTACACGAGATTAGAAAATTAAATCCAAAATGTAGTTATTTTTATGGTTGATTGGATAAAAAATAAAGAAGTTTTAGGAGAATTTTTGTTTTGAGAAGTGTTATGTTGTTATATAATATCATATTGAGATATGATTTTTTTAATTAATAATATCATACCACGTTGTTAGTTACCAAAAAAAAAAAATAATCTTTATTTAAAGTTATTTGCCTTGTGTGGTAAAATAGTTAGTCTATCAACCAATTTTATTTGTTTGACCACTATTAACTGTTTGACTTGGTTAAACAACCAATATGAATGTTATTAGCTGTTTGTAACAGGTTATTTCTTCAAAACACTAAAATTTTAAATGATGCTCAAAACAGATTTTTTGATCAACTTTAGGAAAAAGTCATTTTGTATGTAATTAACTATCAGCTAACAACTTTTTCAAAAAAAAAAAAAAAAAATTATCAGCTAACAACTAATTTACCAAACATCTTTCTACAATCAACTAATGCTATCAACAAGTCAAACCCACTAACCCAATTAATTCATAGCTATTTACCAAACTCATTATACCTCTAGGTTCTGTGCATTAATGTGCTATATATATCTTGGGTCTTGACATTTCGTATTAATTAGTCCAATAATATAAACAAAGCTATACGAGTAGAATGAGACAGTTCTGGTGAAGTTCAAACTCATAATCAAGAGAGTATATTTTGATGTTAAGGTTTTTGTCATAGGGAGACAAACAAACAAGATTCATGCCTAAAGTCGTGTACTCATTCTTGGTGATTTAGACCTACAATAGTTTGTTGATAATCATCTCGTCCAATAATCTATTTCCAATAGGTTCCAATCTCACAAGTCACAATTGAGTAATTAGACATATCTAGGTTTTTTGTTAATTACTGGACCCTTAAGTGCTTAATTCTGATATCATTTGTTAGGATAAACGCTTATCACTATACTAAAATTAAAGTTATACCTAGTAACAAATGTATAACTTTATTTCCTTATACTGCCACCACATTTTCGAAAGATAGGGTGTTGAATTTGACTTTTTAAAACTTCACCCAACAATCTTCTAACTATCGAGTGCTGAATTTAGTCCTTTACTGACCTCCGATCCGCCCAACACCTCTTAAGTATATCTCCAAACCAAGGCAAATTTGGGCTAATAGGGTATTAATAACCCCAACAATATTCATTCTATTTTGTTTTGTTTGTATGAAAATGTTGAAAGGTCCCATAGGTGTTGTACCTAGCATGCACATGCTGTAATTAATTGACACCATTCCCCCTTGGTCCTTGCTGCAACCTCAGTAACTCACTTGGCCCCTTCCACCAGTCCTATATACGACCCTGAACGTCAGATTGTCGGCAGCTTTCTCCTATATATTATTGTACATATATGTACATATTTTTTTTAGGGAAAATGATATATGTATTTTCATATAAGTATAACATATAAGTAGAGAGTAAAAAATAGAATAGAAAGTGTGAATACATGTAGTATTACTCATTTTTTAGCTATGTAGACATACGAAGTGGTCATATAGTATGTATGTCATACAAGTTGTCAGTTCGTAAACGGGTAATTAATATAACCATAAGGTCGGATAATTACACTTGCATGTATATATGTATTATGTTAAAAGGTATTCTTAGTCAAGTCTTCTCTGTGTAAGAGACAATTTCTACATATTCAACTGAAATTGAATTTGGATTAGTTTTGTCATGGTAGAGATACAAATACTATATCATCCCGACTAAAAGTTATATATAGCTTGTAGCATGTAGGTCAATTGAGACATAATATAATTTACTTTCTCTACCAGTCTTTAGGGCATGAGCGACGATAATGGACTCTTAAAATTAAAGAAGTTTGGAGTTCAAATAAAAAGTGTATATAACTATTACACATAGTGGGATATACCCTATGCATAACCTTAAGGGATTTATCCAGTACACATTCAAGTAGTGGTTGTGGGTTGCGTGACGATAGCGATATTGGAATTGAAAAATTTTAGGATAGATAGATGTGACATATTTGGCCTCACAATGTATGGCCAAACATTGTTTATTATTGTGAAATTGGTTAAGGCAATCAAGCTACAATTGGTGTTTGGAATTTTCTTTGGGGTTGCATGTGAAACTAAAGTTGGGAACAAAATGACACTTCATTTTACAACTTAACTATTTGAGGGAAACAGACAATCCAGCATATGATGCTTTGTCAATTGATAATGAACAAGTTGCCAGAGGAATTCCACCCATTACCCTTTATTCACTCTATGCAAATCTGGCGATTTTTTTCTCTTGTTGGTACAAATTAAAGGAATGAGGACAAAATTTTGGAAATAATTTTGAGTGTGGTATCTTAATTCAGTTATTTAGGTGTTTCATGCCTGACTCGGTCTTTAGGTGACCGTGCCCACTAATTCCTCTCTCGAGACTGGACTTAGCTTTCGCCTCGCCATCGATGGGTCACCCATCTTGTGACTGTTGTAAGCCAGAGTTTCAAAAAAAAATGTTGATGAATTTACTATTGTGTTTCAGTATGTTTTGTTGAACATCTAATATATAAACATATATGTGCAGTTGTTGGATCTTAACGCTGCACTATGCTCCCAATGGGTCACAAAGCCCAACAACATGCCTGACTCGATTCTTAGCTTCGTGCCCACTCATCGTCCCCTCCCGAGACTGGACTTGGCTTGATCTACGTCACATCCCATCTGGGACTGGACTCAGCTTTCGTCTTGCCATCGGTTCGAGCTCGAGCCCGTGACCTTGACTCTAATATCAATTGTTGGATCTCAACACTACACTATGCTCCAGTGGGTCACAAAGCCCAACAGCATGTCTGACTTGGTCCTTAGGCACTGTGCCCACTAAATTGTTGGATCTTAGCGATGTACTATGCTCTCAGTGAGTCAAAAAGACTAGCATCATGTCTGACTTGGTCTTTAGGCCACCTTGCCCACTAATCCCTCTCCCGGCACTGGACTCGACTTTCGCCTCGTCATTGATTCGAATCTGTGACCTCGGCAACCCATGCTTACTTCTCAGTGGGTCACCCATCTTGTGACGGATGTAAATCAAATACGCTTAACCACAGAGTTCTTTGGTTATTTGAATTGGTTGTCATATCCTACTTAAAATCAATTGGTAATAAGTATGTGGACATTTTTAACTTAATCAATTAATAAATTAAGTAATAAATACATAACCATGGACTTAGTTGGGTTCAATCGAGGTCGATCAACAATTTTGATATTTCGACATAGTTAAAGACTAGTTTCAGGTATTACTTGAGCATAAAAGTAAAGACGAATTATAATACAAAGACAAAATTAAAGAGATACTTCAAAACAATTAAAGACTCATTTCTGGTATTATCTCAGTTTAAAAGCAAAGACGAACTATAATAATACAAGACAAAAGAGATTTAATTTCCTCTTAAAGTAGCAAAATCTTATACAAATCATTTTCCCAATCAAACTAATTAACTCGTGTTGGCATTCACTGTGGCCGGTCTGTCATGGAGCATATTCTCTTTTGTTATGGTGTATCATTTTGTACATTATTGGAAAAGCTAGGAAGGCAGACTATATCTAGAATAATCATGTTAGGATAATTTTGTCTTTTATATATTCCGCCATTAAATCCGTAATTACATCTCGAGTGGGAGAATTGAATGACCAACTGTCAAGATCCATGCCTAGAAGAAGAAGAAGATGATGATGAGATACTGCATGGCCCGTACTGGCCAGCATGTCAGTTGATTTTTAGGCGATAGGTTATGAGTAAAGACACAGAATCAGACCTAGTAGTAGCAGTAGTATGGGAGTCGTTATACTCTTTGTGAGCACCAGACATTACTGCTATTACCGTGATTTATCTATTTACTATCTTGTATGGTCAGGTATGAGGCTTTTGGGACGAGAGTATTTCGTTTTTTTTTTTTTTGTTTTTTTTTTTTTGTGGGCAAGATGAAATATGGCATGGGTACTACCAGTCTGGAATCCACAATGAATGAGAGATGGTGATTGGTGATAGTAATTAGAGTTGAGTCAACGAGAGTGGTTGATACGTATGGGTGTTGCTTTTTGACGAGAATAAGGTTATTGGACAAATAATCATGGTTTAGTATCATTGCACCGGGAAGGATGGATGCAGACATTGTGATACAGATCGACTACTCTATGTAACACGGTTGAACAACACATTGTCACACTCATTGGGATTTGGGGATAATAAATTGCACCCTAATCTCGAAAGCTATTACTTGTTCTTATCTTAAAATCTTGGATTTAAGGGTTCCCAAACCCTAGGCGGGCCTTTATCGAAGTAGAGCACTTAGTTCCCTTTAAATTGATTAGCCAGTTGAGTTAGTTTCATTTTTGTTCCCCGGCCCGACTGAGCATGGTAACTAAGCTGAACACAGAGGCTAGATCACTTGTTCCCACACTATATATGACTGGTGAGACTCAGAGATCATTGTTTCCAAATTTCATCCCTGTGATCAACTGAACTGCACACGGTCATAATGTCAGTTTTACCATAGAGGCTAGACCTTTGTTCATTGCGCATAAGGAACCCCCTCACTGACGCTAGTGAGATTCGATCTCTAATCATTCTTCCAAAGTTTCACCTCTATGACCAGTTGAGCTGTCCATGCGGTTCATAATTTCAGTTTAATAAATTGCCAGCTTGATGTTGTTATTACGAATATGATGTATGCATGGCTGGAAAACTGCCTGTGAAGAATGGGAAATGGCAGTAATGGAGAATGGAGAATATAATAATAATAATAATAATAATAATAATAATAATAATAATAATAATAATAAAAATAAAAAAGAAAAATGCAGAGCAGAGTAAATTATAGGGGGGGCAGATCGGTGAGTTCACGTGTGATGGAGACCGTGAAATTGGAAGCTAAGACTAAGAGATAGATCGGTTCACGGGCTTCAATTGTCAGCACATACTTGGAGGAGTCTGCAATAATTTTATTCTTGATGTACACCTCCACTGCCTTTCACATTAACTTTAATATCAATAAACCCTAATAATAATAATAATAATTCCGAAAGAAATGACAGCGTAAGTAGAATATGATTCTAGTACTTGAAGCTCACGTGTTTGATTGTTGTCAACATTTTCTCAGTCGAGTTCGTTGCACAAGATTTTCTTAATATAATTTACCTCTCTTGTGTAGATTGCGAGTATCAGAGCATTTCTCCCCGCTTTCTTTGTTGTCAAAAACATATGGCGTTTCGTAAAAACTTTTGAGTTCGCTCTAACAGATGAAAAAGTTTGTCAAGTACAGTACACTTTTGGATAGTGGTTGGGGATTACCTTTGTTACCCAAATAACTAAACAACCTGATTTGGAAGAGTTTGAGTTTCTTTTAAATAAGATTACAGATTTTGGATGGGATGTGAAGTGCATGTGGAGATGAGAATAGAAAATTGTCTTATGCAGATTTGTTTCCCACTGTCCATTTCTCATTAAATGTTAGAACGTTTTGGTACAATAACGCATATGGAGTATGCATTTTATGCAACTAATAGCAAGCTAATTGAGACGTGACACTTAAACTAAAACTTAGGATTATTGCATTCTAACTAATGCAATTTATCTCTTTTGTGTGTGTTTTGTAAACCGTTAAAGAGTGACTGACACCTGCTCTGCAGAGCTAGCTCAAGTGATAAACCATCTGACTTAAAATCACCACACCAGTGTAAGGTGAGGGTTCAACCTCCACTCGATCAGAGTTTGGTCCCTTGGACTCCCAAGTTAGTGAAAGGGTGTACATTTGCTCCATCAACTCCAAACAAATTTCTTGTTATGTTGTTTGGGTTTTTGGGATTGCAGAAGTACAGTGTGGGCACCAAGAAATTTCCTTCATTATTTTTACAATTACACTTTGTCGCAAAGAGGACAAGTAAGGAAGCAGTGGGCAAGACATTGCTTTCACGCCATGATTGGATATGGAAGTTGGCAACTATAGTCTATAGCGCTGCCATCTTTAATCATTTTTAGGGTCATGAGAGAAAAAGTATATATGTCTGTAACATAGGTATCTTCTGTAATTATCACTGATTTCTCTCTCCTATAATATAATAATGAACAAACTAACCTCTTTTCCTTCATTAATTGCACACGACAACATTTTGTGTTGCTTCAATTCTTTTTCTTCTTTTCATTCTTTGTTACTTCTTTTTTCTATTTTTTTTACAAAATAATGTCCCATAATTCAGTCACCATGAGTTAGCTATGAGTAAACACTGTTTTTATATAATAGTCTACAAATTACAAATTCAGAGGACTAATGTATGACGAACGAAAAAAAAGGTATTGACAAAAATAAAATTTGTGACCATCTAAGTACGTCACACCTAGTAGAGTACTAGGTCATTCCATCCAGGTTAACTTGCCTAAGGAGGCAAATTTTTATACACAGTTGTATAAACTATGAATACAATATACATTTTTAATATATTAATTATATATCATTAGTATACTGAAGATATACGAAGTATTATTTAATAATATATGAAATGATGTATATTACATAAAAATAATATACTTTTAGTATATTAAAAATTGGACTATGGAGGTGACGGCAAGAAGTCTTGAGCCTAATTTCTGTTTGTTAATTGGGTTAGACTATGAAGGAAAAAAATACGGGATGTTATATTAATAAGGCCTAATTAATTTAAAATGGGCCTAAATAGATAACCCAAATGTTGGATGCCTCATGGCCCAATAGTTATGCTGTGCAACCGAATGTACCATGCGCATGGTGCATACGGTTCAAAATGACGTCGTTTTGATTAAAAACGCGCGTTCCACTTAAAAAAAAAAAAATCAGGTTCGACTCAGCAATAGCATTATTATGGATATATAGTTATGAAATTGTGGATATATAGTTATGAAATTGTGGTTATATAGTTATGAATTTATGGATATTTAGTTCATTCATTGTGGATATTTAGTTCAATCATATATTGTGGATATTTAGTTCATTCATTGTGGATTTTTACTTCATTCATTCATTCATTCATTCATTCATTGTGGATTTTTACTTTATTCATTCATTCATTGTGGATTTTTACTTTATTCATTCATTCATTGTGGATTTTTACTTCATTCATTCACTGTGGATATATAGTTATGAAATTGTGGATATATAGTTATGAAATTGTGGTTATATAGTTATGAATTTATGGATATTTAGTTCATTCATTGTGGATATTTAGTTCAATCATATATTGTGGATATTTAGTTCATTCATTGTGAATTTTTACTTCATTCATTCATTCATTGTGGATTTTTACTTCATTCATTCACTATGGATATATAGTTATGAAATTATGGATACATAGTTATAAAATTGTAATTATATAGTTATGAATTTCTGGATATATAAAAATGCTATTGCCAGGAATCGAACATGATTTCTTCTTTAAGTGGGACGCGCGTTTTTTTAACCAAAACGGCGCCGTTTTGCAACCGTATGCACCTTGCAAGGTGCATTCGGTTGCACAGCATAATTTGCACTCATGGCCCAATATTTGACCCAATTACACAAAGTATATTATTTTATTAATATATATACATGGATAAACTCTGCTTTTAATACCCTCTTATAGCTTTAAAAACAAAAAACAAAAAAATATCATCTTATATACAGAAGTACTACACTACCCACTCAACCCTCGAGGCAGCCTCTTCTCCTATATATAAAAATCCTAGTGTCAAGTAGAATCTTCTCCTATATATAAAAAATCCTAGTGTCAAGAAGAATGAATCACTTTATTTAGTAGAAAATAAGAATTAGAATAAAAATAATTAATAAATTAAAATTAAAATTTATATATATATATATATATATATATATATATATATATATATATATATATATATATATATATATATATATATTATAGAGAGATAATAGAATCACATTAAAATTCTATATTAATAATATAGAATCACTTTTCAAGCAAAAAGGAATCATCATATCAATTCATCAGACAATTATAATCAAATAATTTAGGATAAAACTTCAATAAGCATAGCCGACAATAAATTAAAATCCAAACAGTATATTCATCATTATGGCAAATATGACCACAACAATATAAAAACAAGAAACAATTACCGTCTTAAAATCATTTTTTATCACAATCAACTAGGCATTGAGACTTGAGAGCAAAGCAAAAGGTTATGTCTACTGCACAATCCTACTAGTAACAAGATCAGTCCCCAATAGTTGCAGGGTTTAAGCGCGCTCCCCTCTAATGCGCCTAGCCAGCTGAATGTCCTTCGGCATGATGGTAACCCTCTTGGCATGGATGGCACACAGGTTGGTGTCCTCAAACAGACCAACTAGGTATGCTTCCGCAGCCTCCTGGAGCGCGAGCACAGCATGACTTTGGAACCTCAGATCAGTCTGCCAATCACAAGTTAACAAATCAATTCAGCATCATGTTGTTCCATACCAAAATCAAGGCTAATGTTAATCCAACATCACAATCCTAGCTCATTTCATTAGTTAGAGCAATCCAAATGCTTGTTACGGGTGTATGACAGTGTGATAATCCAGGGCTAATGTTATTCCAACAACACAATCTTAGTTCATTTCATTAGTTAGAGCAAAGCTAGATGCTTATTATGATCCTACAATCATATAACATGGCAGCATGAGATAATCTAATGCTAGTGTTAAACAAATCCAGTATCATACTAGTTAGAAACAACCCAATTGATTGTTACAATTGTAATAATCATAACATGATAGCATGGGATTATCAAGGCTAATGTTATAACTCTAGCATCATACACAATCATAACTCATTTCTTCGGTTATAGCAACTCAGATGATCATTAGAATGATTGAATGTATATTACCTTGAAGTCCTGGGCAATCTCACGGACAAGCCTCTGGAAGGGAAGCTTGCGGATAAGGAGCTCAGTGCTCTTCTGATACTTGCGGATTTCACTGTTTCCAACAATTAAATAATCCCAGATTAGATCAATACAACCAACTCCAAACAGCAAAACAACATGGCAGACAAGATTGCAGAAATAGAAAAACCCTTACCGGAGAGCAACAGTTCCAGGACGATAACGATGGGGCTTCTTCACTCCACCAGTGGTAGGGGCTGATTTCCGGGCAGCCTAGACACACAAGACAATCATGCACATTAGAACACACAAAATTAACATACAACAGAATCACCAATTCAAACCTACACAAATAATTTATTAAAAATTTATAAAATAAATAAATAAAATGAATAATTTTAAAAATTAAACCCTAATTTTTTATTTGAGAAACCCTAAATCCGTATAAATGAAAATCAAGCCCTACAACATATACATTCCCCGCCTACAGCCGTTTAAAAATCAGGATTTATCTAATCAAATTTAAACCCTAAATTTCAAGTATAAAAACCTACAGATAATAATAGATCTACGATTGATTAAACTGTAGTCAGATTCCAAAATAGAAACCCGAAAAAGAATCCTTGTCTCAGGTGAAGACATACCTTCGTAGCAAGCTGCTTCCTCGGAGCCTTTCCACCGGTAGACTTACGGGCAGTTTGCTTAGTTCGAGCCATATCCTCCGATTATCAAGCAAAAATCAAACGCAACAACAAGAATCTGAAAGATTCACACGAAAATTAGATAAAAATCGGAGACAACCGATCCATAATTCAAACGTTACAGAGATTCAACATTCAAATCGGAAGAAAAAAAAAAAACGTAAAAAAAGAGAGAGAAAATAGAGAACACTAACCTCAACAGGATTTTGGTTGGAACTCACGGAAAGCGAAACGGTAGAATGGAGAAAGAGTTGTGAATTTATATAGAGAGCGAGGCATCATCCATCAACGGCTTCTTAGATAGAGAAAGTGGGCCGATTTTGAAAAGTCATGATCCGCGTGCTCGATTCTGATTGGTTGGAATTTTGAAATGAACGGCTGTGATTAGCTGATTAATCTCGCGAGGATCGAGGGTCGTTTGTGTTTCTTTTGTCTCTGTGTTCGCCTTTGGAAAGTTTGACGTGTCTGAAACTCCGCCGACTTTTACTACATAACCGCCCTCTCGTTGCAGGTATGGGCCCGGGTCATGGGCCACGGTCCATGGGCCTGTGCTGAGGAAATTGGGCCTTAGAATATGTTCTCTCTCCCAACTACCCAGAACCAATTCTGATTTATTCTGTTAGTTATTCAGATCGCTAATGGCTTCGTCGTCCAATGGACAGTAAGAAAGGCTATGCGTCGGCGATCGGCGCCGGAATCAGCGCAGCTCTTGCCGCCGTTGCAGCCAAGTTCTTCTCCTCCCAGGTGATTTTTTTACTGTGCACTTAAGCTTAATTTTGAATTTTGAACTTTTTTTTTTTTTAATTACGCTGTGAATAATTGCTTTCAAATGTATTTCTGATTCATTGTCTATTGCTGCACTGTGAAACTCATTCATTCAAGTATCATCTGGATATACGAGTAGGAAATTTTGATTTTCTTTTAGCATTTGTTGCTTGGATTGCTCAATTATCAATTCTGATTCTCTGTTCTGACCTTTTCTGTAAGAGTCAATGTGAATATCCATAACTAGCTTAACCTAGAAGTTGCTACTACTGAAATTTTGAAATATGTATCTACATGATCTAAACTTCAAACTGCTGTAATATATTTGGATTAACTCCTTGATTCAATTCTATATTGCCTTTTTTCTGAATTGCTGGTGTTATTAATTCTTGCAATTTCTTTGACAGGTTCTTAAATATGGCATGGTTGTACTTTGCAACGTGATAATGTGGGGTTGCTATGTTAATAGCCTAAAAGCTCTCTCGTCTCTACAAGCTACTGTAACGAACTCTGCGACCAATTTCCTTTCCTCCGGCTTGGCTGGATTTTTGCTTTTCGAGGAACCTTTACCACTACAGGTCATCTAATGCTTTGCCAAGTTCTCATTTGCTAGAATTTGACTATTTCTTTTAATCATCCACTATCCGGTGTTACTTTTTGTGTGCATTGTAAGAGTTTTTGTCCACTATCTAGTATTTGACTGTTTCTTTGAATCACCTACTATCTAAAGTTTTGACAAGTTCTCATTTACTGGTATTTGACTGTTACTGTTTTTCTTATTGTCTACTCTGTGAGAGTTGAAGTTATATTTCCTGTCTTGATTTATTTCTTCAGTTGCAATTGAAAACTTAGATTGCTTTGGTGCAATGCAAAATAATGACATTGAACCTGGTTCATGACATTACCAAATTCGCTAACTAGCTTGTCTCGTCACAATCTTGCCTTTTTATAGTGGTTTGCCGGTGCTGCACTTATTGTCGCTGGAGTATTTGTTATGAGCAAGTCGAGCATAGAGAGCAAAACACATACAAGCTAGGTGTCTGCCACCGCGGTTTTGTATTCCTTTATGCAATATCAGTTCCCTTTTGAAGGCATGATTCCCAGAATCAGATGCTCAATGTCACCCCAAAATTTTTCTGGTTAAAGAAACACATCCAACCGTAGATTGATTGGATGATATTTGCTCAGGTTATTGAGCATCCCCTTTGTGTAATTCTCAATGTAATCTTTCATTGTTATGATTATCCATATATTTATTTTGAGTTGTATTGTATACTATACTGTATGTTTATCTATATTAAAATCCATGTAGAATAGATTGAGCATCAGCCTCATTTGTTTACCTTATTTTCTTGAAAATGTCAAGGTTCACAAAATGGTAATGAATTGATTGATTATTTATTCATTGTTAGAGATTGATTAGGGAATCTCTATGATATTGATGCTATCCAATATAATCATATATGATTATTGGATATTATCATAAAATGGTTCCCAATAATATTCAATACATGTATAGTATATATGATTGTATATATGATTGTGTCTCTTAAAACTATAGTAAATGTGGGGCAATCTTAATCGAGTTTGTCAAGTTATTGGTTTGATAACTATAATAACTATAATATTTTAAATTGGACTCTGACCTTTTCGGTTTGAACCACTTAATTATAAACAATTTATGTTTGATTTAATTCTTTGTGATCATTGACCAGTTATATTCATAAGATGAGTTTAACTCATAATGCACATTTGAATATTGGTTACGACTTTTCCGTAAATCAAAAACTTTACTATTTTTTTTTTTTTTTTTTTTTTTTTTTTTTTTTTTTTTTTCATTTACTATGCATTCTTAAAAAAAAAAAAAAAAAAAAAACTTTACTATGCAAAAAAATTGCGGTCAACAACGGTTTACACAAAAGCTTCAAAGTCAAAAAATAGGAAGTTTTTTGTACATTGTAAAAGTGAAAAAGGTCTAATCAAAACTGGCCGTTGGTTCGTCTTCACTTTTCAGACCACTGTTCCTCCAGAACCAGAACCCACAATTAAAAAACAGAAACATTACAAAAGTCAGGTGAAAAGGACTACATAAAAGGCATGTCTTACCTCCAAACAACGAATCTCAATAAAACTTCTTCCCCTTTTACTCTAACCCCAAAACTTACTTGACTATGTTACTTTTTCTAATCTCTTTAAATACCCAAAATATTTATTAAAACTAGTCTCCAACTATTACTTAAGAAGCATCGAAAAAATGACATTGAGTAATTTAATACTTAGATTACGTTTATTGTATTAATATCTTTTTGTTTAAAGAAAGAAACGATATATTACTAATCATCTGCCACAAAGACAGCACATAAGAAATCGGGAGGATCATACCTACCTTTCGAACAGTCTGTCTTGAGAAGAAATTTCCTAGCAACACAACGAGCAACTCCATTCGCAGATCGTGGTTTCAATAAGAAATAAAAATAAAAATGACATGGAGTAATTTAATAATAAACAAATATATATATATATATATATATATATATATATATATATATATATATATATATATATATATATATATATATATTTGTTTACTTATTTATTTAAAAAAAAAAAAAAAAAAAAAAAAAAAGGCAAAGGTGTTGGTGTGGGTGCAGTGGTGGTGACAGGTGAAATAAAAACTCTGAAAAACAAGAAAAAAAAAAAAGAGTGTGACTTGTGAGTGAGTGTGCCTTCCTATATGCTCTTTCAACTACTATTCCCTTCTTTCTTTCTTGCATCAGAGCTATTTCTTCTCCTTGGATTTAGGGTTTTCACCCTCCTTTTTCCCTGTCTCCACCTATCTTTCTTGCACTTTCTTCTCTGTAAGCTCTCTGTGAATCTTGTAAGCTTTAATGGGTGCTTAATTTCTTAGCTTGCTCTCATTCTTTTTTGAAGTTTTTGGACTTCTGGAAATGATTTATAGCTGAATTTGAGTTGAAGTTTAATAATCTCATACTTGTGGGACTTTTCTTTAGCTTCTCTTGTGGTGTGTTTTCTGCATGATGTTCAGCTGTATTTCGTGTTCTTGAGTGCTGGGCTTCTTGCTTGGTTGCTGCTATTTGGGTTCTGATATGTGAATTTCAGTGGAGGTGTTTGTTGATGATGATCTGGATTTCAAGTTCTGGGTATTGAAATTGACTGTTTTATAGGGTTTGATCTGAGACGCCCATTATATCCAAACTTGCTATTTTGGGTAATTTTCAGATTGGTTTTGGGTTTTATGAATATGAATTTTGTTGCTAACCCATTCATTATTTGAAAACTGTTGCTTTAGTATAATCCTCCTGGTGAGGATCTTTGTGCTGAATATCTGATGGGTCAGTTTTCATGATCGAGCTTAGTGTTTCTCTTGTTTATGCTCAATTTTGTATCAGTTCTGTAACAATGATTATTCTAAACCAAAAGATGCATATTCGGCAAGGTGCCATCTTTTGTAAGGATTTTTCGTATCCAATGAGAGGGGTGGCTTCAATGGTTGCTCTTTAAGTTTTTGTGACAATTGATATACATACTTGAGTATGATTTCTATGGATTAATTGCCACGTGCTTATTTTGAGTGACGAGGGAAACCCGCAGCCACTACCCGAATGTGTACACTGGATAAAACCCGCCTAGGTTGCCCATAGCTGACCAGCTCAAATCAATAAGGCTAATAGGCCGCTCTCGCTAGGAGACTTAAGAGTTGAACCCTTGTGGTTACCAAGTTAACAGTCTTACCAACTTGGCTGGGTTGCCCCTGCCACATGCTTATTTGCAGAGTTTTGTGTCATCAATTAGTGTATCTCGAAAATTTGCAGCTCAAGAAATTGTTAGCACCTGCTTCCATGGCTACATAGCTATATAATTTTGAAAAGTAAATAGTTTACTTTGATGGACTATTGAAATCAGTATTGCCTACTGCTAAATATCTAATTGGTGTCATAGATAATTAAGTCTTGTCGTTTACGACTTGTGAACATGTGAAAAAATCTAGCTTGATCTGTTTTATACGGCATATTTTGTTATTGATGTATCATGTGTGTTTATTTGTTTATATCAAGATGGTGCCCTTACTTCTGACGATATTTGTGCTGAGAGCTTGTTTTTTTGCCTCAATGTGTCACTATAATGTGATGCTTGTTTGCTATAAATTCTACAATGAATTGAAGTTTTAATGTTTCACGAGGCCCAACTTTTCTTACATTATAACATACAATGCCTGCTTGTATCTGTATCTCAGGCTTCAATATAGTGCATGTGCTATGATTTCGTGTTTCCTCACACTATTTGGGTCAATGATGTTTGATGGTTTTCTACAGTTAGGGCCCCAAAAGTGATGCAGCATCGAATTCGCGTGGGTTAGAGCAGTTGGTAAGTTCAGTATTGCCGGGCTTGTGGTTCTTGAAGTTCTTGATTTCATTCTGCTAGATGTTATGTTCGTGTACTTTTGACCCCGTTTTCCGCCTATTTTGGCAAGAAAATCACTAGAAATGGACTTCAATTGCCGAGATATCTCTTCTCAGTCTTGTCAGTCCTATCTTCAGTCTAAAAAGGAAGAATTATCAAACGTAGAAGCTGGCGTGTCAAGTGACTTTTGCATTAACCGTTTTCTGTTTTGAGCTGGGTGTATTAAAAGCTTCCTTGTTGCTTGGTAAAAATAAAACTTTTTCCCTTTGTGCTTGCTTCTCTTATCTGCTTCGCTGTTTCTGTTTCGTTGATAAGAGTCATGTTGAGGAACACAATCTACTTTTTAGAAAACTATGTTTCGTAATTCTATTGAGTATGCTTTTGTAAATTGGTTACAGGGCTCTTGACTATGGGCAGCCGTTAGGTCCTTGGTTGAGTATTAGTTGCAACGGTTGATTGAGAATTGGAACCAACGTTCGAAGTGGAACCTAGATGGATGACGGTGGGCCTCGAGAAAATGGAAGGTACAAACCGCCACTACATGGTCAGGTAATTACGAATTTATGAATAATAAAAGCTGGGAAGAGTCGTGCCATCACTTTGCCCCAACCAATCTGGCCAGCACTTTGCCCCTTAATTGGGTCGGCCCGGTGCAAACGGGGATTAGTCTGAGTATGTTACGAGCTTAAAGGTGCCTTCTACAGTTAGGACCTGCTCAGGACACCTCGTGGTCTGACCAATCTGTCCTTCTACAGTTAGGGCCTGCTCAGGACACCTCGTGGTCTGACAAAAAAAAATAAAAAATTGGGAAGAGTCTAGTGTTCTTTCTTGAAAACGCACCTTAAATTTTGTGATACTTGAAAAAGCTATCAATTTTTCATCTTGAATGTGGATCATAGGATGAAATGAAGTTCGTCTTTTCAAGCTTTGCACTTTGGGTAATTTCAAAATTTCCGTTTTTCCCCAGTGGTTGATGCAGCATCAGCCATCAATGAAGCAGATAATGGCGATCATGGCTGAAAGAGATGCTGCCATTCAAGAAAGGAACTTGGCCCTTTCTGAGAAAAAGTCTGCCTTGAACGAGCGGGACATGGCTATCCTACAGCGAGATTCAGCGATTGCTGACCGAAATAACGCCATAATGGAACGGGACAACGCCATAGCCACTCTCCAGTATCGTGAAACCTCGATGAATACTGGCAGTATGTCTCCATCGCCCCCAGGTTGCCAAATTACCCGACACCACGTTCATCATCAAACTGCGTATAGCTCGAGGGATATGCACTTAAGTGATGCCATACCCACGTCCCCAGCTGACCCAGAGCCCGCTAAGCCCCGGAGGAACAAACGAGCTAAAGAACCTAAGCCAGCAACGCCTAGAAAGACCTCAAAACCGTCAAAGAAAGCTAAGAAAGAAGCTGATGAGCTTAACAGACAAATTGGCGGGGCTAGTGATGACCTTAACAGACAATTAGGCATGTCGAGGCCAGATTGGAAGGATCAGGACCTCGGGTTGAACCAAGTTTCTTTCGACGATTCAACTATGCCAGTCCCGGTTTGTTCGTGCACTGGAGTCCTACGACCCTGCTACAAATGGGGAAATGGCGGGTGGCAATCCTCGTGCTGTACAACCAATTTGTCAATGTATCCTCTACCCGCTATTCCCAACAAACGACATGCCCGAATTGGTGGTAGAAAAATGAGCGGAGGCGCATTTAACAAGCTAATTAGCAGGCTTGCTGCTGAGGGCCACGATCTATCAAATCCAGTCGATCTGAAGGAACACTGGGCAAAGCATGGAACAAACCGATATATCACCATCAAATAAAACTCCCGAGCTTCTTGATCCCGCACATTATATCTTAAGGTATATGTTTCCTTTGTTCGTTCGAGTAACCGGAGATAACTGTAAAGCACCTCTGTACTTTGAATACCTTAATGCATTTTACCTTAGATTCCAGTTCAGTGTAATATTGGTTGTTTAGCCCTGTTGTTCATGTTTTTCTTGACATTTCCCTGTTACTATCTGTATTCCAGTTCAGTGTAAAGCACCCCCACCCCTACCCCCAAATTGTAGTAGATTCTTGAGGCTTATTTTATGATATATATAATTTGGCCAATATCTATATGGACTATGGTGTTCACATGCCTCTTGTACCATATTGTATATCAAAATTGGGAAGTTTACATCCCCTTTATAATCTCACTTTTTGCAGATTTCTCAACTTATACATGTGACCATTGTTTAATATGGTGGCCATTTGCCCATTTCTACTCTCCAAGCCCAATTGCTGCTTCTTTTACTGTTGTTAAATTTGTGGTTAAGGGTTCGTAAGGCAGAAAAATGACTTTTGGAAAATGTTTTTTAGAAAATTAGTCAATTTTTAGAAAACATTTTCTTTTTCCGTGTTTAGTTATATTCTGAAAAATTGTCTTGGTGTGTTTGGTTCATTTTTTGAAAAATAAATAGAATTATATAATTAAAACATTTTAAATATTCTATTTATATTTATAATAATATTTAAAATAATATTACTTTAAAAAAAAAAAAAAAAAAAAAAAAAAACTGGTTTCCAAAATAATCGTGGTTTGCGGCAGAAATCATGTTTTGAGTGTTGTGGAAACTTCCGCCAAAATGCCTATATTTTTCCCGGTCAACGGAAAATATTTTTCGTTGACTGAATTTTTCTACTGCATTCAAACACTGGAAATTTGGAAAACATTTTTCATAAATCATTTTTCGAATTTTCAAACGGACCCTCCAGGGATGGCAATGTGCCCCATCCCCGTTGGGCATCCTCGCCTCCGTAGGGGATGGGGACGGGGACGGGGAAAAATTTCGGAGATCGGGAACGGGGATGGAGAATTTGACAAACTCCCCGGCGGGGACGGGGATACCACTCCCCGCCCCGCCCCGTCCCCGAAAATAAAAAAAAAAATAAAAATAAATAAATAATATATATAGAATATTATTTTAGGATTAGGAAATAGAATATTTGAATGTGTATACATTGGAATAATATGTATACTGTACTACTGTGTATATAACAACAATAAGTCAATATAATTCATAATGTTTGAATGTTAAACTATTTTTAGTATATATATATATTGCTCTTTCGGATTGGAATGTGAACTTCATTAGTTCGTATGTTATTAAAAATAGTTAAATTTTAATTGCCATTTCAATTCTTTTTATTTCAACTAGTTTCACACTTTGACTAACCCCGTCCCCGCCAAATTTCCCGTGGGATTGGGGATGGGGAATTTTTTCAAATCCTGGTCGAGGACGGGGATGGCGATGGAATCGGGGTAGCGGAGACGGGGACGGGGAGTATACTCCCCGCCCCGTTGCCATCCCTAGGACCCTCAGTAGTAGAGGAAGGAACAATAGGGAATTAAATTGTACTCCATAAAAGGAAACAAGGATATCTCATATTGTATAAGAAAGTATTTTCTACTAATATCCTCCTTATTCCACTAATATCTTAAGAAAGTAAATAGCATAATATCAGTGGCGGACCTAGTGTGGGAGCAGTGGGGGTAGCTGCCCCCACTCACCCACCACATATATATACTACTAGTGCCCAATGTTTTTTTTTTTTAAAAAATAAGTACTTTAAAGTATATTAAGGCAGGATTATATTGAAATTGTTCATGCATAGATAATTGAAGGTTGAATTTGTGTATTTAAATAGGTAATTCTTCTCCGAAAGGTTGAGTCCCCAACCCCAAGGGCCCCCCACACTCCGACCCGACAGAGCATTGTGGGAAGTTGTAAATCACGGTGACTCAATGGTTCAGCAGACAAGGCCAAATGCTGATACGCACAAGGAATTTGCCCACTTTGGACATAATTCGCGCACTGCCGCTGCCGAGATTCTAACCTCCGTCTCTTCTCCCAAATACTACCCACTAAACCATTGAGCTAAGCCCGTGCGGGTTAAATAGGTAATTCTAAGTTTACAAATGCAAGATAATATAGTAAAGATTGATTATAATTGTCAATAAAATAATTGTATAGGTATGGTTGAAACCAAATACGGGACATAAGGGAGAACAAATAAAAATTAGGACATAAAATATTAAATATCTACTAATATTGTTTGAGGAGATTCCGACATTAAGTTTTGTGGTTAAGTTCAATTAAGACTTTAATATTAGAATTAGATTAATGGTGTAGTTATAATTCTATATTAGACTTTAATATTAGAATTAGACTAACGGTGAATTAACGGAAAAGTTAAATGGATAATCATATAATCAATACTATATATAAAAACAAAATCCTGAAATTTTAACTTCCCGCCCAATTCCTAAAAAATCTGTCTTCCTAAAAAAATATATTGATTTCTACTTTCCCATTCGTACAATAACTCTGCGTTAAAATTCTATTCTAATATTATAAAATTGTATAATACAATCTATACTATATATAAAAACAAAATCCTAAAATTTTAACTTCCCGCCCAATTCCTAAAAAATCTCTCTTCCTATAAAATATATTGATTTCTACTTTTCCATTCGTATAATAATTCTGCGTTAAAATTCTTTTCTAATATTATAAAATAGTGTAATACAATCTATACTATATATAAAAACAAAATCCTGAAATTTTAACTTCCCGCCCAATTCCTAAAACATCAGTCTTCCTAAAAAAATATATTGATTTCTACTTTCCCATTCGTACAATAACTGTGCGTTAAAATTCTATTCTAATATTATAAAATTGTATAATACAATCTATACTATATATAAAAACAAAATCCTAAAATTTTAACTTCCCACCCAATTCCTAAAAAATCTCTCTTCCTATAAAATATATTGATTTCTACTTTTCTATTCGTATAATAATTCTGCGTTAAAATTCTTTTCTAATATTATAAAATAGTGTAATACAATCTATATCTATACTATATATAAAAACAAAATCCTGAAATTTTAACTTCCCGCCCAATTCCTAAAAAATCTCTCTTTCTATAAAATATATTGATTTCTACTTTTCCATTTGTACAATAATTATGCGTTAAAATTCTATTCTAATATTATAAAATAGTGTAATACAATCTATACTTCTATACTATATATAAAAACAAAATCCTGAAATTTTAACTTCCCGCCCAATTCCTAAAAAATCTGTCTTCCTAATAAAATATATTGATTTCTACTTTCCCATTCGTACAATAACTCTGCGTTAAAATTCTATTCTAATATTATAAAATTGTGTAATACAATCTATACTATATATAAAAACAAAATCCTAAAATTTTAACTTCCCGTCCAATTCCTAAAAAATCTCTCTTCCTATAAAATATATTGATTTCTACTTTTCCATTCGTATAATAATTATGCGTTAAAATTCTTTTCTAATATTATAAAATAGTGTAATACAATCTATACTATATATAAAAACAAAAACCTGAAATTTTAACTTCCCGCCCAATTCCTAAAAAATCTCTCTTTCTATAAAATATATTGATTTCTACTTTTCCATTCGTACAATAATTATGCGTTAAAATTCTATTCTAATATTATAAAATAGTGTAATACAATCTATACTATATATATAAAAACAAAATCCTGAAATTTTAACTTCCCGCCCAATTCCTAAAAAATCTCTCTTCCTATAAAATATATTGATTTCTACTTTTCCATTCGTACAATAATTCTGCGTTAAAATTCTATTTTAATATTATAAAATAGTGTAATACAATCTATACTATATATAAAAACAACATCCTGAAATTTTAACTTCTCGCCCAATTCCTAAAAAATATCTCTTCTTATAAAATATATTGGTTTCTACTTTCCCATTCGTACAATAATTCTGCGTTAAAATTCTATTATAATATTATAAAATAGTGTAATACAATCTATACTGGTGAAATTAAGACAGAAAAGCCCTTCTAATTGTGTAATATAAGACATAAAAAGATAGAAAAGCCCTTCTAATTCACGGTCAACAAACGGCTTCATTGGCGGAGGATCAAAACTGTCCAACGACCAATAACAATGTCTACTAAGTGGAAATTTTTATTATGGAGGATGAAAAGTGTCAATGTCTCAATAAGTCTAGGACAAAAAATGACATTAACTCCGGAATACAATACAAGAATATTTAATTATAGTTATATTATTATTGTTCCTCACGACCATTATATACTAACAGTACTTGAAAAGAAACTAACAATAATAATAATAATAATATAATAATAATAATAATATAAGTGGTAATAATAATATCTAAAAGTAATTAAGTGTTAATAATAATAGTAAGAATATTAACGTAAGAGTTGTAACATAGAATAAATTGTAATAATTAATAACTATTGTCTAGGATTAAATTTGGAATTGTCAGAAAAGATAAACGACCTTTGGTGAAATTAACTCTTAAATAATTATATATCGATTTAAATATTCTTAATATATTACAACAATTACATTCCGTGCATCGCACGGGTGAAAATACTAGTTAAGGATAAATTAGAAAATCTTAAAAGAAAAAATTAAAACCTGAACAATATGAACCATTCATTTGATTTAATAATTTGGCGGTCATTTTTTCTACCCAATATTAATAATTAAATAAATTCGCTGGTCAAATCCGCTAGTATAATCCGCTAACGCTAACCGCTAACTGCTGATTGTCAAACAAGGATATTGCGAGGTAGTTCTCACTTCAATTTGTTGTGTGATTTGAATACTCTCGTTGTCACAAAATCTCTCAAGTAGTTAATATGGTTGGCTTTATTAATTATATATTTTTAATTTTTTCATGGTATTAATAAAATACTTGGTAAATAAACATATAGCATTATTTTGTATTATAACTTTGATATTTAATTAGAAAAATAGTGCACAAAAAAAGATAATAGATAAAGACAATATAACTAATGAAAATATTTCTTTTAATTAATTTATTGATAATTAATAAAATTTTTTCACTGAATAAAGACATTGTAAGGATAATGTAGCGAATATAATCAATTAATAAATTTGAATATAAAGAATTTTTATATTGAAGAAAAATAAAGACAATATAACTAATAAAATTATTTCTCTTATTTAATTGATTGATAATGAATATTTTTTTTTTTTTGAATAAAGGCATAATGGACACATAATTCTAAATTAAAGAAATGCATATGTATTATTTTTTGTTGTAATTACTAAATTATTATTTATATAATTTAATAAGAGTAAAATAGAGTACTAATTATGCCAACTTTGATTGGGATGAGGTTCGAACCTAAAACCTTTTTTTATTGAAATCAATGAGTAAGTTAACGGTGAACTAACGGCAATTCTTAAAATTTTAACGGAATTAGTAACGGTGTGTGGGTATTTTAGGAAATTTTAGTGTAAAATTTAAATCTGATCAATCTTTTAATTAATCTGAGCCATTCATTTGATTAAAATCTGTGACCGCCATTTTTTCTACCCATTATAGGCCTAACTCTCTTGGACTCTTATTAGTATAGTAGACATATATTATATATACTAAGATTTAACCAATTGTTAGTTTTGCTTAGATGGCAATTAAAAGCCCCTGTATTGTATAATAATAGTGCAGATGGCTAGAGTTCGAACCCTACTGCTTGGCTTCTTTTTTGTTTTCATTTTATTTAGTTTGGCTTCTTTTTTGTCATTTTTTAATATTAATAGTGAGATGAGTGAACTTTTGTTCTTGACATTTTTTTAATATTAATAATAAGAATTCTAATTTTCTTTTTTGTTTTCATTTTATTTAGTTTGGCTTCTTTTTTGTCATTTTTTAATATTAATAGTGAGATGAGTGAACTTTTGTTCTTGACATTTTTTAATATTAATAATAAGAATTCTAATTTTTTTTATTTGTATCATTGAGACTTCTTCTCTTTTTTTTTTTTTTTAATATTAATAGTGAGATGAGTGATTTATAATGTGTTTTTCATTCAAACTATTTTATGTAATTAATTATGTTTTATATTTTGTTTTAAATATTTTGTTGTCTTTATATATTTTGATTTTTTTTTTATCTCTAGTCAACAATATTTATGACTCGGTCTCTAAGTGTTTCAATTCATTTTTAAAAAATATATCTCATTAAGTTTAATCTTTCGCCCCCACTTAAGAAGATTTCTGGGTCCCCCACTGCATAATATCCGATTCTCTGCTAATATTCTCCTCGATTCCTTGTTGCAATCCAATAACTTATGCTTTATTTATAATCTAAAATATTCTTGATTGATTCTCATTTCCATTTGTGTCCTGATTTCCTTTCTTTCTTTAAGTAAACAATCCACTCATGGCTCAATGGGAATGCAGAGTCAATATTCTAACGAAGAAGACGAAGAATTGGACCTAACCTAATGGGCCTGGCAAGAAACCCTTGACCCGAATTCAGCGACGATTCGATTTATGAGATGAGATGAGATGCAAATGAAATTCACGCCAAATTCACTCGGACTTCCCAATCGGTCCGGTCTCCATCGCCTTCACCCGAATTTCGGGTTTTGTCCTAACGCGGTTACTTCGTGCCGGCACCTCTGCCATAGATAGCGACACGTTCAAAGGAGAGAGAGAGAAGAGAGAGAGAGAGAGCTCAACCTTACCGTCATTTTTTATGCAAAATACAAAGTTTTTGTCTTCTTTTCAATGCTTCTTTTCTGCTCTTACGACTTGTGCGTTTAACCGCAATCACCGCCGTATTAAGCGGGAAAAATATCGGGCGCTCGGAGAGGAAAAAAAAAATCCCCTTTATTAAGCTTCATTTCGCTCTCGCGGAATCGCAGAACAGCGCCGCACGTTGTCGACATTGCCTGTGAGTGAGTTAAAGCGATTCGGGCAGCAATTTACTGGTACATTTCTTCACGAAAGTCTCTCTCTCTTTGCTTCTAGTATGTTCTTTTGCTTTGTCTTGTTTGCTTGGTCTGTTGTTATCTTCTCTTGTTTGTAGACCTAGATTGATTTGACTTGATTGGGTTTTGAGCTGCTTTCTGAGTTAGGGGTTTTTGTTTTCAGGAAGTTTTGACTGTTCTGATGGAAGCTGGTGAGATTCTGTGAACTGAAAATCTTTTCTTGTCTGGCTAAGAACATCGTTAAAGGGGCATTCTTATATTGTTTTGGTCTCAATCCTGTCATTTTCCTGTTCAGTTAAGGTGAAAGTTGGAATCTTTATTGTGTTTTTTGGGAATTTAGGGTGTAAGTTACTGCAATTTCAGATTAAGATAGGTTTGGTTGTGGTTACACATCACTATATTGGCTGATTGTTATGGCTCAGTCAAATTCTAAGCCGCCCATTGGGCAGAATTTTGGGTTTGGAGCTTCTCATGCCAGGTCATTATCTCAGCCGCACTTTTTTGCAAACAATTGCTTGCCACCAATGCCACCAGCAAACTCTGGTATGAAGGATGTACAAATGGATGAAGTAGAGGTGAATCCGAGAGGTACACCTATTGCTTCTGTTGTGAAAGAGAATGTTTTCCGAGGTAGTGACAGTCTACCACCTCGTAAAGGACATCGCCGCTCTAACAGTGATGTTCCAATGGGATTCTCTGCTATGATTCAATCTTCTCCTCAATTAATGCCCATAAGCGGTCATGGGGTGTTTGGCAAATCGGAATATGGCGGAGATTTTTTGGGAAGGGAAAAACCCATCTGTTTGCAGAAACGGGAAATTGATGTGAGTGGTGAAGGAAAGAACAACGCTGAGGGAATGGGTGATATGAAATTAGAGGGAGAGGTTATTGATGAGTTATTCTCTTCATACATGAATTTGGATAATATGGAAAGATTCAACACTTCTGGGACTGATGATAAAGACAAGGACAGCATGGTCAGTGGCACCAAGATGAGTGGCGGTGACAGTGGTAATGAAGTAGAAAGTGTCTCTAAAGGAAAAGGTGCCCAAATCCATATAACAGGTTCAAGAGAAGGAGTCAAAAGATGCGCTGCTGGAGATATTGCTCCAACTTCTAGACACTGCAGGAGTCTTTCAATGGATAGCGCACTTGAAAATTTGAATTTTGGTGATGAGTCACCAAAGTTACCTGCTTCTCTAGGAAATTGGGTTGGGCAGCTTTCTCCTAGCAATTCAGGATATGAAAGCTCTAGCAAGTTGAATTTTGACGTTGGAAATGCTGAATTTAATGAAGCTGAAATGAAAAAGATTATGGCTGATGAAAGACTTGCTGAGATTGCAACATCTGACCCTAGACGTGTCAAAAGGTGTGGTGCAAATAGCCAAATACATTTTCTTCCTTAACTATAATTCTGTAAAGAATTTGTTGACTTAGTCCATCTGTGTCATTTGTTAATTTATTTTTGTTGCAGGATTTTGGCTAATCGCCAATCAGCTGCCCGCTCTAAGGAGAGAAAGGTGCGCTACATATCAGAGTTGGAGCTTAAGGTTCAAACTCTGCAATCCGAGGCAACCACTTTGTCAGCCCAAGTTAATATTATGCAGGTGATTTGGAAGCTTGTGGAATTACTCTAAACTTCCTTTGAGGATTGAACTTGATGAGTATGTAATTGATTGTCGTGCTTCTGTTTACAGAAAGATCTTGATGACCTTTCAAGTCATAATCATGAATTGAAATTCCGTCTTCAAGCTATGGAGCAACAAGCACAACTCAGAGACGGTATTTCCTTCCTTTACAAGCATCTTTGCATGTGTTGCATCAACAGATTTAGGGTGTGTTTGGTTGGTGGGTTTTGCCCATAGGAATGGGTATGAAAGTGATTGTTGTTGTTTGGTTGATAGGTTTTTAGAACACTACTATGGGTTTCGAATACTCCATCAATTGAAAAACCCATACCCAAATAAAATAAGGGTTTCATTCTTATTCATTCTCAAGCACTACTATTAGTAATCATTCTCATTCCACCCTACTACCAAACATGTTAAATACTTTCACCAAAACCCATTACCATTACCATTACCAAGTATTTGATACCCATTTTGATTTCGATTCCAATTCCTATGTGCGAACCAAACACACCCTTATAACAATCTGTGCTCCAGGTGTATAATAACCACTTCCCATTTGTAAATCCCTTCTCTTTTCATGTTACCCCTCTTTGAGTTGATTTTCCAAAATGTTGTGGTAGGTGGTTTCTAAAAGAGAAAAGGGGGAAGGGTGTGGGAGGGGGGCGGGGCGGGGCGGGGGGGGGGGATGACCAATGACATTTTTCAGTTTAACAAATCTTCTTGTACTTTGACTATTGGAGAGAGAATCTAGAACGAAATTACCTTGTTTTCCCATTGGCCTTAAAACTGAAAAAGGAGGTTCTCTATTTATTTCTTTTTTCCCCTTTTAGGTGCCGGGTAGAGGGAGGAAAGGAGGGGTTGTTTAGATGATTACCCACTCACCAACCTTCCTTCTGAGAAAAGTTTGTCTTGTTAATTATGTTGAGAAAGGAATTTCATACTTAATGCATGACTTTAACAGTTTAACTAATCATGTCATCTCGACCAACTGCCAAGTGGGCACTTATATTTCTCGGACTTAGTTTTTAACAGTTGCTTGTCTGTGCTATATTCATTTGAAGCACCATTTCACATCACCTTCGGCTAACTAGGCTTTCCATACATCAGCACTTTGAATAGTGCAAGTTATCTTCCATCATAATGACCACACAGTAGTATACCATCAGTGTTGCAAAAATCGCGCCTAGGCGGTAGGCGGTCGGCCACCTAGGCGCTTTAGGCACCGATTAATCGCTCTAGGCGCCCTAGACGGTCCCCAGGTGCCTAGCGGTTTTTTCAACCTTGTACACAATATATATATATATATATATATATATATATATATATATATATACACACACACAATTGTATCATACCCCGGAGAAATGCTTAACTTGCGGTTCTATTTGGCAGCTCTGCACGAGGCACTAACTGCAGAAGTGCAACGTCTAAAGGTTGCAACAGGCGAGCTGAGTGACGAGTGTAGACTATCATCGAGTTGCGTGCCCCAGGAAATTCTTCAGCGTCACATGTCCCAGATGCAGCGCCAGCAGCCCGGTCAAGGTCCACAGTTGTCGATGGCAACATCAAGAACCGCATCAACCTAAGCGACGCCTACATCAGCGCGAAGCCTTGCAGAGTTTTTCGGGGGATGTTTTGTTTTATTGCGCTCATTTAAACTCGAAATTTGATCATATCACATAGGACTTTTTTTTTGTCTATACTTAGACTATACAGGATGTGAACTTAAAATATATCACAGGTTGTCATGTCTTTGACTCTTTGTCTGAGATTTTTTTGTACGTGGTTTGTGTTTTATATATATACTCCATTCATGTTTGCTACGGAGTATTTGATTTCATGAGGAATCGTTTGTTTGTCAATTGGATCCTACGATTATAGTGGTATTATCAGGATTGATCCACGATTTTTAAACGTTGCAATCTCAGTTCACGTACTCAATTCACGTATAAACAGAGATTAATTTGAGTATGGTACGGGTTTAAAGGTGCATCCTACATGACACTTCATGGTTTGACCCAAAAAATATTTTATTTTTTCTTTCTTTTTTAAAAAAAAAAAATTGTTTTTCTTTTCTTTTTCCTCCTTGTTTCTCTTTCCTTGTTGTCTTGTCTGGACAAAAACCACCAAAAAAATTCTACTATTACAGCTCGTTTGGTTTGCTGGAAAATATTTGAAGGGAAGTGAAATTGAAATTCTATGGAAAATAAATTCCAAGAAAATAGATTCCATTGTTTGGTTGGTGAAAAAGAAATTACTGGGAATATGAGTTCCATTGTTTGGTTGAGTTTGGAATGGTAAAAAATAATGATTACAATGACAAATATAACCCTACACAACAATAATAATATAATAATGAGAGTAATTAATAAAGAATGATGAGGGTAAAATAGTCATATTAGTTTTCCATGGAAAACTTTTTCCATGAAAAACAAAATACTTAGTAGGAATTTGTTTTCCTCATTCTCAAGGAAAACATTTTCCAATGGAAAATGTTTTCCATCCAACCAAACAACATAAAACATCATTTTCCTTTACCTTTAGGAAAACATTTTCCATGGAAAATGTTTTCCATCCAACCAAACACCCCCTTAGTGATGGGTTTTTGTAATATTTTTTTCCTCATACTTTTAAATTGTTTTCTTTATTGACCCACAAAAAACCTAAGCAAAAATCCACCAATTGGGTTTGCTTTATTCAATATGGGCTCCAATGTACAATAATATCCAATTTTGCAGGAAAAGCAAGTGAGTGGCACTTTTGTCATTTCAGGCAATGGTTCCCTTATTTGCCCCAAAATTCCCAGGGGGACAAAAGCTTGAGGGAACCCTTAAACCCTACAAATAAAACAAAAGGCCAACAAAAGCATTCTGACATTGACCACAACAAATCTAATTTCTCTGCAACATACATTCTCCTGAAGTTATTATAATATGTAAAAAATATATTTTTATTTTATATTTTCCTCAAATTACGGTAAAATTACTTTTGTTATCCAATATTATTAAGTTTAATCTACTCTTTTCTTCTCGAATACAAAAAAAAAAAAAAAAAAAAAAAAAAAAAAAAACAACCATCAACAACTAACTATATAAATCGTAACTAAGCCACTCCCACGCAATTAGTTGCCAAGAGTAACCTTATTCCATTCGAGAGTCTCCAAGCATTCGTCATTCCAAAAATAAATTATCAATTTTTAAAACATTCAAATCAATGCAGAAATTTAGTTTAACGATAAATATGTCGCGTCTTGCAAATCCAAGAAGTATAAAGTCATCATTATCTTTTTTTTTTTTGAATGCTACTAGCTCTATTACATTGTAGTATCTGTTCATATACTTTCTCAACCTACTGAAACACAAAGAGCTAATAACGCCTCTCGAACTCACAATCTTCCAAATGGAAGTCCAACCCGGGTACCATTGGACCACATAGTCCTGGTAAAGTCATCATTATCTAAATTATATATTGTACACCATATATTAAAATGACAAAAACATTTCAGAAATAACAAGAAAGGAACAAACTTTATCTTATTTTAAAGTAATAACAAGAAAGGAACAAACTTTATCTTATTTTAAAGTAATAACAAGAAAGGAACAAACTTTATCTTATTTTAAAGTATTTATGTGAATTTTTTTTTTTTAAAATATTATGATCCTAAGATGATAATTACGTTAAATTTTGAGTAATCTAAAGTTACCTAATAATGAATTAATGATTCTTTAGATTTGGATAGATTAAAATCTCTTCTACTGATGATAGGAGATCAGTGGTGTATTATTTATAGGATCTGAAAAAAAAAAATGGGGATTTCAGATTTCTGCTAGAAGTAGAAATAGAAATAGAAATCTTTGTTTGGAGAGGAGTGGGCAAGAAATCAAAAAATATCTGTCGCCATGGACCATTCGTATCCTCAGCTTTACCTTTGTAATAGTAGAGTACAAGAAGGAGTGTATTTATAAAAGTCACGTTCTTGGAAAACCCAAAACATCTTTTTTTTTTTTTTTTTTTTTTTCTAAATTTTCTCTCCTCTTTATTAAACCCACTTCGCAGATAATAATAATTATAAAAGATTTGGTTGTGTTGTAGGGTTTCGAATGTTTCTTTTTTATTTTTTCTGATACTGCTAACTCGATATATCCTAAACTCCGTCGCCGCCGATTCGACTGGTTGACTTGCCGCCGTTTTTCGCGTCGATTTCCGCCTGTTCTTTGGCAGTAGTGGGCTGGTACGCCTTGGATCTGTTGTTGTCGGTTGGTTCTGGGAGCTGGGGGGTTTTGTATTTTTTGAATTTTCGGACCGTTGAGTTGGCCGGAGATGGCGGAGAAGAAGGTGGAGGAGCAGGAGGAGGGCGGCGCGGCGGTGAAGGGCGGGGAGTTGTTATTCTGTGGGTGCACGAACTGGGACGGCATTGGCCGGCGCAAGGTGTCGCCGGAGTTCAACCTGATTTCGCCGACTAGGCTCCGGCCTCTCGTCGGCGTCAATATTTGCTTTGTCGCCGCCGGCTGTGGTAAAGTTACTCAATTTTAGTATTCTTAAATTTGAAAGCTTGAAACTTTAGCAGTTTTACTAAACTGCTTGTTTGAGGTTGCTTATGATGTTTTGTTCTTGGTAACTTCTATGCTGGTTTTGCAGTAAACTTGAAAGTACCTGTGAGTTCAATTGTTTGGTTTTTATAAATGTAGCATCTTTTCATTGTGTTGCACTGGAACTTAATTGCTTATTTGATGCTACTTATGATGTTTTTTTCTTGGTAACTTCTATGCTGGTTTTGCAGTAAATCTTTAAGTATCTGTGGGTTTAATTGTTTGGTTTTTATAAATGTAGCATCTTGTCATTGTGTTGAACTGGAACTAAATTGCTTATTTGAGGCTACATATGATGTTTTGTTCTTGGTAACTTCTATGATGGTTTTGCTGTAAATCTCTGGGTTTAATTGTTTGATTGTTATGAATGTAGCATCTTGTCATTGTGTTGCAGAACTAAATTGCTTATTTGAGGCTACATATGATGTTTTTTTCTTGGTAACTTTGATGCGGGTTTTGCAGTGAATTTTTAACTATCTGTGGGTTTAATTGTTTGGTTTTTATAAGTGTAGCATCTTGTCATTGTGTTGAACTGGAACTAAATTGCTTATTTGATGCTACTTATGATGTTTTTTTCTTGGTAACTTCTATGCTGGTTTTGCAGTAAATCTGTAAGTATCTGTGGGTTCAATTGTTTGGTTTTTATGAATGTAGCATCATGTCATTGTGTTGCAGAACTAAATTGCTTATTTGAGGCTACATATGATGTTTTTTTCTCGGTAACTTCTATGTTGGTTTTGCAGTAAATCTGTAAGTATCTGTGGGTTTAATTGTTTGGTTGTTACAAATGTAGCATCTTGTCATTGTGTTGCACTGGATACTGAAGGTCGATGCTACACGTGGGGTCGGAATGAGGCATGTATTTTCTTGTATGCCTACTACTTATTTGCTTAAATGCTGTAGATTTCTGGTAATGTGTATAAAGATGAGGACTTTTTCGTATGCAGAAGGGACAGCTTGGTCATGGAGATAAAATTACCCGTGATAGACCAACGGTTGTTTCAGAGCTCTCTAGGTATGCTTGAAAGATTGTATCTTTTTAATTGCGTGCTCTAATTTGAATCTAACTTGATATGCGCTCTAATTTGAATCTAACTTCTCATATGATACGCTTGTTGAATTCTGTAATATGAAATTGTTTTGGACCTTTGATTTGCGTTTTTCATAACTTTGAGGTTTATCTCATTTGTTTGGACAATGTTGTCAACTGATTCTAATAGGATGGTCTAAATGGTTATCCACCGAAATGTTATATGTATAGTCAAGAATGTTCTCGTGACCCCTTCTTGATCCCTTAAATATTTTTTTTCAGGCATAAAATTATTAGAGCGGGATCTGGAAGGAGCCATACTGTAGTTGTAACTAACGAGGGGCAGTCCTTCTCCTTCGGTTGGAATAAACACGGGCAGCTCGGGACAGGATCGGTTAAAAACGGTGGGTATCTGTCACCTTCTTTGAGGGAGTAATCTGTCATTTCATTTATCGGATTACGGTTCAATAACGTCCTTGCCCTTTCCTCTGGTCATTGCAGAATTTGAGGAATCTCCAGTACGTTGCCTTGTATCCGAAGTCAAAACAACTTCTTGTGGAGCTGACTTTACTGTGTGGTTAACCTCCATCGAAGGATCTTCTATATTGTATGGCTGTGGATTTGATTTTAATTCACGTTTACTTTCGAGATTCTCCAACGTTGTTTATTCTTTGATCTCCTTGTTGTTTCATGGTTTTCAGAACGGCCGGTCTGCCACAGTATGGTCAGCTTGGCCATGGCACCGACAATGAGGTATGTAGATTTCATCTTCTTTTTTTTAAAAAAAAAATAAATTATTGTACTTTGTAGCTTAATATTTATAGATATTTAATTGATAAAATTGAAATTTGTTCTTTTTCGTCACAGCACAATACCAAAGATAGTTCGGTGAGACTTGTGTATGAAGCTCAACCGAAACCCCGAGCAATAGCTGCCCTTGCTGGAGAAACCATAGTTAAAGTAGCTTGCGGTTCAAATCACACAGGTTCTTAACATAACCGTTTATATACATATAAATAAATAAAGAAAAAAAAAAGAATTATGTATGTTGTGCTTTTATTGCTGCTAACTTCGTTTGCTTTTAATTTTGTGTTATGATCAGTTGCGGTTGATAAAAATGGATCTGTTTATACGTAAGTTCTCTTTGGATGGTTTAACTTATATGACACACGTATATTCGATACACAATACACGCAACGATTAACTCTTTTTCTGCCTTTTGACTAAATTTTCAGCTGGGGCTTCGGTGGTTATGGAAGGTTTGTATTCTTCGGGGGTCATTTTACGTAATATTTTTTGTTTAATAAGAACCTTAAGTGCTTACCCGCTGATCGATTGCAGGCTTGGACATAGAGAGCAAAAGGATGAGTGGACTCCTCGACGTGTTGATGTCTTTACTAGGCAAAATTTTCTGCCCCCGGAAGCTATAGTATCAGCCGGTTCGGTAAACTCGTCGTGCACTGCTGGTATGATATGCATCATTCAACCTTTTAGGAGTGGGATGGATAATTTTATCGCCTTTCCATTGATCTCTTGCTTGCCTATCAAGCAATTTTTTTTTTTGAGTACTATTGACTCGGTTACAATGTAGTATCTGTTCATATCTACTTTCGCAACCTATTGAAGCACAAATAGTCAATACACGACCCCACTAGGGCTCAAACCCATGACCTCCTATTTGGGAGAGTCACTTTATGCCACTAGACCACAAGCAGCATCGGGCAATACTTGAATAATGCATTTATTAGTGTTTTTATGTTTTGCCTTTTATCCAGGGGGAGGACAGCTATACATGTGGGGCAAAATAAAAAACACGGGGGATGATTGGATGTATCCTAAACCGCAAATGGATTTAAGGTTCCTTCCCACTTATGCATTTGCTAATTTTTCTTTTGGCCGAACAATACAAAACGGTTCGTCATAATAGTTATGAGGCTAACTGTCTGACTTTTATTTTTACGTTATGTACTTTGAAGTGGCTGGCACTTGCGTTGCATGGATTCGGGCAATATGCATCACTTTGTCGGTGCTGATTCCTCGTGTATAAGCTGGGGGCATGCGCAATCCGGGGAGCTGGGATATGGGCCGAACGGACAAAAGTAATTTACATTATATTTTACGATATTATGGGTTTCTTTTGTCGCCCGTTTTCTTTTTCCTTTTTTTCTTGGCTTTGGGGGGTTGGTGGTGAACGTTGTACATCTTTTATTTGTTTATATTTATTTTTCACCTATGCTACCTCGTGCAGGTCTTCCGCAATTCCTAAAAAAGTGGAAATCCTCGAAGGCATGCATGTTCTAAGGTTGGTGTTGGATATCCACAACTCGATCATTTGACCACGAAATTATGGTTGTGTTTTTTCCTCGGGCATTTATTCTTCTTCATATTTTGTTTCTTTCGGCAGTGTTGCTTGTGGGTTTGCACACTCCATGGTTGTCGTTGACAGGACAGATGTCGGTGATAAATTGGACCAGGTAAGTTTTAGGCTACTACCACCTCTTCTCTTCGAATTTGTTTATATTGGGAACTTCGGTATGCCAAGAACCACATATATACATTCACGACATTATCTTTGAAGCCATTTGATTTCGCCATTTTCTTTATTTTGCGGTGTGCTTCTAAGTATTGAAGTCGAGGAAGATTTCTAACTCTCGTTAGCTATATCTTGACAGCTTGAAGTATACGATGGCAAGGCTTCCGAAGAAGGTAATGCTCTCTTGCCCCGGGTCTTTGTAATCTCGCTACCAATGTTGAAAAAATCGCTAGGCGCCTGGGGACCGCCTAGAGCGCCTGGCGGGTGCCTAGGAGGCCGACCGCCTAGGGCGCCTAGGAGGCCGACCGCCTAGAGCGCCTGGCGGGCGCCTAGGCGCGATTTTTGCAACACTGCTCGCCACAATGAGTTCATAGGCAAATGTCTCGTTTCAAACAAACATTTATATTCGTTGGAATACCTCTCCTCTTATTCCCGATTCTTTCAATGCTACAGTACCCGAGAACGAAACTCCGGTTCCTGAAAAAGCTCCCAAGAAAGCTACGAAGTCTGCTACAAACTCCAAAAAGAGGAAGAAGGCGAAGGACTCATCATCGGAGTCTGAAGAAGAGGAGGAGGAGAACAGCGACTATGACAGCGATGACAGCGAAGAACGGGCAAACGGGAAACCTGCGGGTAGGGGGAGAGGCGGCAAGGGCGGTAGCAAATCGACACGCGGGAAAAAAGGCGGTACCGGTCGCGGTAGGGGCCGCCCGCCTGCTGCAACCAAGAGCAGTGCCAGCGAGAAAGCGAAAGGCGGCTCGGGTAAACGAGGAAGGCCCAAGAAATCAAACTAGCGGTACCCAGTACCTATCCTGATTAAGTGATAACAAATCTGTTCATATGAGAGTAAATGTAATTTTACCCTGATTGCCATTGCCATTGCCATCATTTGCAGTGGTTTATGTATTCCCTTCTTCTATCCTTAGAGATTGCTTACATACTCTCTTAACATTAAATTAGAAATTTCTTTGGAAAATTTGACAGAGCTGACAGCTGATGAAAATGAGTATGTAGTGTTGTATCTGTCAGCTCGTTTTTGGAGAGCGCAAGAAAGCAAAAGATATCGAAATTTCTAGTTTTTTATAACTCGGGTTTCTCAGTTTTGCTAAACTATATTTTGGATCCCATGAATCTGATGAAAATGAGTCTGTAGTGTTGAATGTCTCAGCTTGTTTTTGCAGAGTTCAAGAAAGCAAAAGATATAGAAATTTTTAGGTTTTTTTTTTTTTTTTTTTTTTTTTTTTTTTTTTTTTAACTCAGGTTTTCCAGTTTTGTCAAATTATATTTTGGATTTCGTGAAGCTGATGAAAATGAGTCTGTAGTGTTGTATGTGTCAGCGGCTTGTTTTTGGAGAGTGCAAAAAAGCAAAAGATATGGAATTTTTTAGTTTTTTTTTTATAACTCGGGTTTTTCAGTTTTGTCAAACTATATCTTGGACCTTATGAAGTTGATGAAATTGAGTCTAGTTTTTTTATAACTCAGATTTTTCAATTTTGTCAAATTATATCTTGTACCTCATGAAGCTGATGAAAATGAGTCTATAGTGTTGTGTCTATCAGCTCGTTTTTTTTTATGAAAATGAGTCTATAGTGTTGTGTCTATCAGCTCGTTTTTGGAGAGTGCAAGAAAGCAAAAGATATGAAAATTTTTAGTTTTTTTTTTTTTTTTTTAACTCGGGTTTTCCAGTTTTGCCAAACTATATCTTGGACCTCATGAAGCCGATGAAAATGAGTCTATAGTGTTGTGTCTGTTAGCTCGTTTTTGGAGAGTGCAAGGAAGCAAAAGATATCAAAATTTTTAAATTTTTATAACTCAAGTTTCCCAATTTTGCCAAACTATATCTTGGCTCACATGAACTTGTCCCCAGACTCGTGGAAATTTCTGTTTTTGTTCTCTCTAAATGGTACTCTAAAGGGATTTGAATGTTGGTTCATGTACCATGGATCATTGGTGATATTATGTTGCCCATGATGCTGTTATAATGCCATTGTAATACAAACTTTTCATGATTGCTGCAAGCTGGTAATAATATTACTGGCCACTCGATTACCCCCCCCCCCCCTCCCTCTCCCCTACCCCCAACATTAAAAAGAAGAGGTTGCAAAATGATATTGTTTTGTATCTTGTTATGATTGAAACCTTTGTCCATGTGACTAAGGCTCCACTCCTAGCCCACTGTTCAGAGAAATGTTGGGCTGTGTTGTGCTGTGTTGTGCTGTCTTTCTCCCCCTCCTATGCAATATGTGTTAACTACTTTGTGGTTTAATGACATTACTGTTATAATTTTAAACGAATTGTTACAGATTCGAGTCTCATCCTAATAAAAAATATTGCAAGCAACACGTGAACCGTAATCGCTTAGATTCTGATATTGCTAATTCTACGTAAGCAATATAAATAACACAAGACCAGTTAAAGCAGGTAAAGTCTTTATTGATCAAGGTAGAGTTCCTAAGTACAATCTACTTGGTTGCTCTGAGTACCGACTGAGTGCGGTCGGGATTCTCTAATAACAACCTATCGATCGTCCAAAAGTCCCCTCACTGTAGCTACTGTGGGTATTTATAGCCGCAACGCCGGAGACAAGCTTCCGGCCGTTCGGCATGCTCTCCACGTAGCCTCCACGCGTCCTCCTCCCGGGTGCCCTGCCTGTCGTCGTAGAAAGCCGCCACGTGTCTTTAGCCAGCTCTCTCGCCTAAGGACCACCGCTCGGGGTTCATAGCATCGCTCGGGCAACTCCCGGTCGGTCACCGACCGGGTTCTCCTCAAGGAGCCCGACCTGTTACCTGCAAAGACATAGGCAAATGGACAAAGGCATCTCGGTCGTGGTGGAGCTATGTCGGTCGGGATATTCCCTACCAAGAGCCCCCCAGCCCGGGCCTTTTTGATCAGTCGGGAAAGAACGGGACGGGATGAAGAAGCCCAACCGTCAGCCACCAGGCCGACCTGCCAGCTGTCATTCCATTCTACGCCACGCGTCGGCCTCTGCCGGCCTTGGCGATCCCATCTGTCGTCTCGGATTCAGCGCGGGTCGTGTCAGGCCAGTTGGCCCATTTCCCGCCTAAATGTCCTCCTATAAATAGGCCCTTGAGGCCCTCATTTGAACTTTCCTCACTCTTTCGCATCAGTCGGTACCTTCAGAGAGTCCCGAGCAGAGCGGCTTAGCAAAGCAATCGAGCAAGCAAACTCCAACTTTCAAGCTCCGAACTTCAATCTTCTCTCAATCGGTAAGCCCTCAACCCCCCTCTTTACTTTAGGCTCTTATTTATAGGTAGAACTGCTAGGGCAACTAACTGTCCCGGACGTCTCAAGTCCTTACTAACTCCGACCGACCTTTAGGTAGATCGATATGACGGACTCCGACAGTCAAAACGCCTCGATTGCTGATTACGACGAGGAGGTCGAGCGCATCAGCGACGGGGAGGTGGACATAATGTCCTACACCCCGGACGCTAGTCCCCGAGCGACGCCAGCCCCCGAGCAAGCCGCCGAGCGAGACAATGCATCGAGCTCCTCAGGATCGTCAAGCTCGAGTTCGAGCGGATCGGGGAGCTCCAGCGAGGAAGAAGAAGAGAGAGCCACGTCAAGCGGGCGGGGTTCTCCAACCGAGGGCGTTAGGGAAACGCCTACCCGGGTGGTTGGGGACCACCCGGAAGCTGCTCCTCGAGGGGGCGATCGAGAAAATACCCCCGAGCAGACCGAAGAAGACCCGGCCGGGCCGGCCAGACCAGCCGTCGAGCTCGAGTTCCTGAACAGCGAGAGCGTCGAGCAAGAAATGAGCCTGCTGTCCAAAGGCGAGGCGGCTCGGATTGCTGAAATACTCAGGGGTCGGGCAGAATTCGACACGAGCCGGCAGCTGGGAAACGTAATTGACAGGCATCGGGGCAAGTGGATCGGGATGCACTATGACTCCCTGACAGCCCCGATCGCCATTCCCTTCACCCCCCTCCTAAACGCCTTCTTGGCCTATTACCGAGTCGTCCCGGCCCAGATCTGCCCGAACGCACATCGGATCTTGGCCTGCTTCCCCCAGATATGCGCTCGGCACGGGGCCGAGTGCACGATGGAGTTGTTTAACTTCATCTACCAGATCAAGGTTCTCCCGGGCCGCTACGGGGGGGGTTCCTGATGCTGCAGTCCCGAACGGATATGTGCTCGATCAGAGGCTTGCCCGGGAACAACAAGGGGTGGAAAAACAGGATTTTCTCCCTCAAGTATGAGCCCTGGATCTTCCCGGTCGATCGCGTCTGGAGCACACATTTCCGGAAACAAGTGGTACCGGCCGAGACGCAGGCGCTGAGGGACGCGGTCAGCCGGATCTCGAGCGAGGTGCACGAATACACAATCTACCGGACGGCTGAAAGTCTCGCAGCTGCCATGCTCCCGCCCCCCACGTACGAGCTGCCGGAGAAGTATCTGCCCGTTCCGATGGGCGTGACGGTCGCCAAGCCTTTGAAACGAAAGAAGAAAGGTTTAGCTCGAGCTGTTCTTCCCGACCTAGCTTTATCTTTGAACAAACTAACTCTGCTCTTGTTTTGCAGCTATGGCCGAGTTTGGTGACGAAGACGCCGCCCTTCCCCCACCCGTCAAGATCTCGCTCGGCGGGAAGAAGAAGGCCAAGACCAAGGCGGCCGGGGAGAAGGAGATCCCATCTGCCCGACCTCTGAGCGCCTCGACCGTGACGACGGGCGAGGGCTTCATCGTGGAGCAGCCGGACGTCCTGGTCACTCGGGTGGAGGTCGCCCGGGGAAAGGAAAAGGTTGCCGACCAGGGCGCGACCGAGGCGGGCAGCCTGAAGCGCCGCCGCGAACAGCACAGCCCGACCCCTTCGGCCGGGCGGGAGAGGGGGCCTTCATCCGTGCTGGCACGGATCGGCAATGCCGCGCCAGCCCGAACGGACCTGGGGAAGATGACCCCGACCCAGGTTGCTGAGCGGATCGGCTACGATCTTGCTGAGGTAAGTCCCAACTTTTAATCTTTCTTTGCCCAAATATCGTTGATCGGGCTAACTTTGATTATCTTCTTTGTGTTGCAGATCTCCCGGGCGACCCAACTTCTTCAGGGTCAAGCTTTGCTGGCCGAGGAGGCCGATCACCACAAGAAGACGGCTGCTCGTCGTCTAAAGGAGATCAAGGAACTCCAGGCCGAGCTAGAGAAGACACAGAAGGCCCTGAAGAAGGGTGATGAGGAGCGGGTGCTGGCCGAGAAGGTCGCCAGCCGGGCGATTGGGGAGGCACGGGAGCTGAAGGCTCAGCTCGAGAACCCGAGCGAGCTGGTGCGGGCGGCCTTCAAGGACAAGGAGCTGGGCACGGCCTTCCTAACAGCAGCCCGAGGAGACGAGGTCGGGAACGAGTTGATCGTCTCGTTCGGGAAGTGGGCCTTTACGGCCGGGAAGCAGAAAATGCTTGAACGCATCCGCAAGCGGTTGGAGGAGGCCCTCGACGCCGATGATCTCCAACTGGTCTTGTCGGCCTTACCCCCGGACGTGGCAGATCCCGGTCCCTCCCCCTTTACTCCGACCCCGAAAGCCAAGGTAACCGAGCCTGGGGCTTCGTCGGCGGCTGCCCCGAGCGGGAAAGAGGCGACCTCCGGTGCTCAGGAGGCGAAGAAGTAGATTTAGGCTTCTTTCCTTCTTTTTGAGACCTTAGTCGGGAGCCCGGTCCCGATTTGTATCGGGCACCTTTTGGTCGTTAATGAAATTTATTTTTTGGTTCCATCCTGCGTCGCTCGTTCTTTCTTTTCGCACTTTTGTTTTTAACCGCGCAAGCGTTGACCCTTAACTCTCGACCTCGCGGCCTTGCGGCCCGACCTCGCACATACTGACCTCAATCACTCGACCACTTGGCCTTTAGGCCCGGTCTCGCGATACTCGATCCACTCAACGCCCGACCTTACGACCTTGTGGCCCGATCGTGCGTTCGATATTTCGACTTCCAAACTGGCCCGCCGATCAGGTTTACCCGATCTCCAGGCCTTTGCCGAAAAAAATTTTCAAGCCTCTACGGTCGGAATGTAACCGAGCGACGGGCCTTCTATACTTCCTTATCCCAGCCCCTCACTATTGCGCGCACAAGGCACGAGTGGGT